AACCTTAAATCATTTTAAAAGACGATGATAAAGTTCGATTCTACTGACTGGACATTCTAAGTGGAAAACTCTAATAATTTCAAAATTTAAACAGATCACTGCCCTATTTCCCAAGGGTTAAATACCTTGTGTCCAGTCTACGAACAGTGGTTTATTCATGTTTGATTAATATTCACTTGAGCAGTGCAAAACGATCGATACGAATAAAATACAAAATTAATGACATCTCATCATATTTTCCACTCAGAATCATTGTGACGTAATCTCTTTAAATCAAAGGTCACGTTATCATTGCTCAAAAATTGTGGATGTACATATACCTTATTCAGCTCAAACGAGTTTTACAATGCAGGAGTATTAGATTTTAAGGTAGTTAAGCAGAAATTACCAACAGTGAATAAGAAGTTGGCAATCGGTTGCTGTTGTGCTCCCAGTTAGAGAGAATGAGAGCAATAACTTATGAATTTTCTTCAGGTGTGTCTTTTTTCTCATTCGTTGATATTCTGATTAGGTGGTCTGTGTTCGAAGGCTATGCACACTCCCCATATATCTTAGTAGATAGAATATAATTGTCCATTGTATGTGCTAGCCATCTAATTTACTTTGTCTGAGTAAGTGCGTGTGACGTTAGTGGTTGTAGATACAAGTCATACATAGTAATGACGAGAATAATGATAGTTGGGACCAGCGTTTGGTGCTTTCTTCAGTTCATTAGTCATAGGACCCAAAAGGAGAGCCGAAATCGAGTTACAGATCAGAATAATCGGCCAAACCACCAACCTATAGATATTACAGTTGCAGCACCAAAAGACTCGTAAATAATTGTGCAGTATGTATAATAACTTATTGTCATTTTGACTGAGTTAGCCGTGGTTTGGCAGACTAGGTGATGATTATAGGTGAAATGAAAATTAGGGCTGCTGCATAGATTTTTGAGTTAGAATAACAGATAGAAATGCGTTGTATGTAATATAGTACAGCTTTAGGAATAATGCAGAGATATTCCAACTAAATTAACATCATGAATTTCATACGGTGAACAGACTGACTGTCAACTATCAAACAATATGATATCAGTGAATCTAAACCTACCACAAAAACATTACTGGAAGAAAATAACCAAAAGTGATTGGTATTCTTTCACAAAGAAAATGAACAGTTCTGTCCAACTCAGTGAAAGTTTACTGGTTAAAAACTTCTAGTTATCTACGAATTTTGTGCTCTAAATTCTTGCACTGATGAAATAATTCTCGACACCTTTTGGCATTTAAGTCATGCACAAACTTAAAGCCCACTTTATCAATTACATTATAGGTTTTCATATCAAAGTGTTGGAGAGTTTTTATTCAACTTACAGCTACGTGTCCTGGATTACATGATAAACAGTTAAATGATGCTGACACAAAGGAGAATCCCCGGGTTTTAGCAACAAACGAAATTTCAAATATTTTAACAATGAAGTTATAACCGGTTGGTTTTACGTAGGATATAAAAATTCAAATGTAAAGCCTTCTAAAATTCTGGCCATACTTTGACTAGACAATAATATTTTCCTACGCAATATATATATAAATATATATATATATATATATATATATATATATATATATATATATATATATATATATCAGAGAGAGAGAGAGAGACAGTATTCACCACGGACTGACATCATTTTGTAAATAACTGAAGACCCGGGAGCACTGGACAGCTGTTTTGTTTATGATTATTGTGCTACATCCTTTTTAACTTGGTATGCGCTCATTCAAAAGTTCACAGCTTGTAAACTGCACAGCTATGAGGAACACCGAGATAAGGTAATGTGTGATTCATTAGTCCACAATTTATACGATAAACTGAAATTTATTTGATAACAGTTTGGAGATTAAGATACTGCTGATACTCGAAGGTGATTGGGTTGAGTTTCCTGGCGGTGAACATTACCGATTGTAGTATAGAGTCCCATTCCCCTAGTCCCTTTACGATCAATAAAACCGACAAAAAGCCGATCATTATTAACAAAGAGGATAGACAGCTAAAAAACCTATGTAACGTCTTCAGTCAGCAAGTCACTAGTTATCAGGAAGAGAAGAGTATGTAAACATTCGATGAAGAAAGTGACCTTACTCATAAATATTAATTAGTACTGAAAAGACACCTAGCATAAACTTCAAACACGAATACCAAAAGGTAACTCTTAAGATAGTAATGATAAATAGTGGCTAGCAGTGGAATCCAGGATGCAGGCTTAATCCCATTTGGGACTTGTCAGCTGGACGAACCTGCCTCCCAGTGAGTGATGCTGTCCCAGCTAAGACTCGAACTCAGGGCCGACCGATTCAAACGCCAAGCGTTATCCACTAAACCACTGAGTCATGATAGCCACTCCCTGTTCGATGGGTATAGCTTTTATGTTGCTGATTGCAATTTCTAACGCTCATTGGACCAAACTGATTAGTCTATAAGCTTTTAAACACTTGAAAAATTAGAAATTTTCAAATCCGTCTTCATAAATTCCAAAACTAGTAAGATTCTTTTTGACCAAGATTTGGGTTGTGATTGAAACGCATACATTTATTACAGTAGGATTCAGACCAATAACTTTATTCATCAACATCATCCTTAACAATCTTCCGGAGAATGAAACTTGTTAAAAAAATTTAGAAAATGAAATTGATTGCTTAGGGGAAAAGACGAAAGTGGGTAGATGAAGTTGTAAACCTTCAACAACTCATATGATGTATATGCAAGCCCAACCACCGTCTGCCCTATCGAACAATGTTAGATGAAGCAGGTTTAGGGTGGAAAACGTTTAGAGGGGACCAGACTAAAAAGTGGACCCATTGAATGAAGTCCCTGACTTCTTTTCCAAGCCATGTAGGATAGTGTAGACTTCCCGGTTGGAATCCGTGTGACCATTGAAACCGGTGGTTAGAGACTCGAAATAGATGTCAGGGGTGCATATATATCAACACATTATCTCCATCCTAAAAGTCATACTGACCTTTAGTATCCTCTGATTCTTCCTTGCTCCTTTTTGATAACTTTCTACCACTTTTGACTGGCTTCTTCTTTATCAGTTCAGGCTGATGAAGTGTGACAACTTGGACCATCACACAGTAATGCCAGGTCTGATGTTGATATCATCTGTCTGTCTGGTTAGTGAAGTAACGTAGATGATGTTGCCGCCACAACCAAAATTCATGAAGTGTTTCGGTAAAAATTCGAACAGTACCAGCCATTACGAAATTACATTTCCTGCACGGAAGTGTTATACAATCAACAAATCTAAATATTAAGATCACATCAAAACCTAGCATAAATCTTTTGTCGCACAAACGGAAGCTGTGAAATTACCTAATATTCCAATAGCAGCCTATTGATTTTAGCGAAAATTATGAATTTACCTCTACTGCGGTACTCTGAACACCCTTAATATGACCGATAAATATGCATGATCAAATAAGAAATATCCTTTTCAATTTTACCGATAAGTTGAAAAAACGACCACCTACTTTTGAAGGAGTAAATGGATAGTTTTATAGTTATGAATACACATAATAAAACAGTTTTTCACGCCTAAAGCTAAAACATATAAGCACTTCTTGAAGCAATGTCGTCTTCTTAGAGCAGGAAACTGGTTGCGAGAATATCACAATATGTTGACAAGGTTCATAGTATACTTCTCCAACAACCGAAACAGAATAGTACACAATGATCGTACGATAATCAAAAGTCAATGAAGATGTAGATCACTGACTTAAGCACTTAACACTTCAAGCAATAGGTTCCAGTTCCAATCCACCAACTTTGGCCTGAATAACCTGATAGTATCATAGACTCTGGCAAAGTAAGCGTGATTCATAGTCCGGTGAAAACACCTGTAACGGGTTGAATTGCATTTCAATTGAAAGATTACAAATTAGAAATTTAACGTGATTGTGGTTTCAATTGTGAGACCTCGCTTCTTGAAACACTTAACACATCTAACAGCAATCCGAACACTAGCCTGAATTTAAGTCATCTAGTCGAATAGAAATCTATTCAGAATCCTTGTGCACATTCATGCAGTAGGCAATGAGCCACATCTGTTATGTGAGGGCAGTGATGCCATCTGTCTGGCTAAACCTCAGTAGGTGGAGCGCGACTCGAACCAGTGACCCACTGGTTAAAAGTCACCTCTATGAAGCAATGAGCCGCAGCTTCACAACAACCTAAAATAGACAGCTTATTCGTAAGGCTTGAGAATCGACTACTATAGAATACGTATGAAGACATTCCTGTGATTCACTGCTTAATATCACCAATTGAAACAATGGGCTGAAATTTTTAAATACTTGCTTCAATTAAGAGACAATCCACTCTTCAAACTTTAGGAAAGATATTATCTTTCAGTGTTACTTAAACTGTCATTGAATATATCTCTACTTCTTTTAAACCGAAGAACTTCTAACAATGTTTTCTTCTACCATGATGTCAACGTACATCTGCTGTTGAGATGATGTAGAATATTTTTAGTTCAGGAGGACAATTTTAATGGCACTATGTTCTTTGAGGAAATATAAAGCATGTCAGAGGATTTTCAGAGGCTTGGCATTTAGGTCAATCAGGAATCAGCAGAGTATTGATCCAATCTGTCGACCAATAAGAAACAACAAGAAGGTCAAAGTTCACGTTGTCGGGACAACCAATCAAACTAAATGTGGAGATATTTACAAGACTGGCAGAAACAACCAATCACACACAGAGCCATCAAGACAAGCTACAAAATAAGTTGTGAGGAAAGCCTTATAACTCACTTCTTTCTGAAGCTTGTGCTCATGATATCGTCTAGAATGACAATGAAAGCCTTACGATTAAATCATCCGGCTTAGAGAACACAACACCATCAAAAAGATCATCTGATGTATACCATCGAGAAAAGGTTGATGATGACTTGTTCTACATCTTCAAAAAATAGAAACACGTTCAGTAGGCATGTTATTAGTATGCGTACATCGAACTTCCCCTTCGAATTCAGCCTATCTAATAATTGTGACAATATATGCAAAATTCACTTCACGACTAAACAAACATGTGATTCAAACTCAAGTTTTGAATATAAAATAATTTACATGAAATATTATCATCTCTCTCATCCAGACAACATACAGAAAGACCGAAAAAAAAGGACAATGTAATAGCTTAAAAAAGCGGAGATCGTCAAATAAATGATTATTCATTACTCTGAAGCACACTATCATTCACTCGACCAACTCATTTATACATTGTGACAAAAAAAGAAAAAAAAATATGAGAAAACAGCTAAAGTTTGTTGCTATTGCTTTTTGTTTCACTTGTACAAAATTAAGGAATCGATTCATTAGGAAAAACACAATTGGCGATGATAGGGATACGACTAACCGTAAGTAGTAACTGTGAACACAAGTTTTAGAAGGAATCGAAGTCATCACAAACAGAATCAATATTTTACATACATGGCAACAGAAAAAAAATTTTAAGCGAAAAAAAATACGTTTTAATGCATATCAATGGAAGACTGGAAAAAAAAATACATACGGGGCAGGAGTGGGAGGAAAGAAAATTGAAATGCTTTGAGAAATAATACAAAAGCGTAAAGTAGATTTTACACAATACATATACATATTTGCGCATATCATCTATCATCAGAAGATCTATTGATATTATTATTATTATTAATAATATTAATTGTAGTAGTACTAGGTATGGTAAAAGAATCCCTGCGTTTAGCAGCACAAACGACTAGATTAGGTGTTTGTGCGATTGCACTTGGACGAATAACAAAATAACGATTTGTTGATAATGTCGACGATGATGATAAGGAGGAGGAAGAGGAGGAGCAGGATGAGGATGATGATGCTATCAAATATGGAGTAGTTTCATTCGTCTGAACTTGAGCACAACTAACTGGATGTGCAAACAATGTCCTAGTTTGTGGTTGATTCAATTGTAAGGTACGTTGAAAGTAGTAATTATTGGGTCTAGAATTGGAATGCAAAGGATGAGCAGAAATACTAGGAGATATTGTAGTTGGACAAGTTTGTAAAGAATTTGGGATATATAGTGTATCTAATGTGCTATCAACAGAACAATCTAACACCTGATTAGAAATTCTTGAGCTAAGAGTAGTTGAAGGAGTTAATGAAGAAGTGGAATAATTAGAAGACAAGCCAACATATGTGCACGGTTCATTTGAAGCTATCAATGACGGTGAATAGACTAGTTGAGGATTCAAAGTGTTTACTGACATATCCATCTTTTCTTGTGATTCAAAGACAGATGAAGAAGACATCTTACAATTTAAAATATCTGTAATAGATGATGTTGACCTTGTTTTATTCACGATAGCTGCTCGTATTGGCGGGATATGCTCAGCAGAACTGACTCTACAACCACCTATAAATCCAGAAATTGGTTGAAACTGACTTTGCTGTTGTGTTTGTTGATTACGCAAGTGTAACAAACTGGTAAGAGTAGGACCTGGATGTTTTTAACAACAATAAAAACACGAAACGTAAAATCATTTTGCCATTATATACAACAGTATAAAAAACAAATCTGGTCAATCAAATATTTTGCGATCTACTAGTAGAACTATAACCCACTATCTTCATCACTGCATAACTATGGTTACAATTACTTGGAAACGTGTGACAGATGCATTTTACAAACCCAAAGTGATTACCTGAGCCTTAAGCACATTGTGATGAAAAACAGTTCTAACGACTCCTGATGCAGTCATGTAAGGATAGTATTCTCAGTTCACTTTAAACATTTAGTTTGTAACCCAAAGTAACAAATTTGGTTAATTCATGAGCTGAAATAAAGCTAGATCAACTCGAGCAGTATACAGAAAGATGAAAAACAAATACATGAGACTAAAGGCCTTAACTCAGTAAAAGATTTTCATCACGTGGAAGAATAGCAAATAAACTATTTTACCTAACCAATGAGTCTTTTGGTTCCATGAATCCCAATAGATAGAGGCAAATACAGTGCATACCTGTTAACACTTAAGTTATGCATTGTTTTAATTTGATATTTTTGAAAAGGCTTCTTTCTTTTTTGCTTTCTACATCACACTTAGAACCAATAATAACTAGGTATCTCTAAAACGTGCCCCGAATATTTCACTCCATGCGAGTTCGTAACCCAATCTGCTAACTATTACTACACCGAAACCGCGCTTCGCTTCAGCGTACGTCACTACCTAATGAATACATACAGGTTTTTGGTGACAATTACCTTTAAAATATTAACCATGTCATAATTCTTTGTCGTACATGTAACAGTATTAATCAAAACCACAACCACACGATAGATACAAAAGACAGAAATTACCATTTGAAAGTAAAACATTTAAGATATAGCACAATTTTGGTAGGAAGATATTCTATGAACTATAAAACACTTACCGAAGTTAACTTTAAGCAGTAAATGAGTGCGATTATCTCATTTATCTGCAGAAAATATAATTTTATGGCCTAATAGTCAACAGTTATAATGCGACTTGACATCTAACCTGTGGATTATGGGTCTAAATTCAGCTTAATCCATCAAACGTTTTAGGTAGTCAGATAGTTCTGTTAGCTCCTTTCTAATATGTGCACCTCATAGCTTGGTTATCTTGAATTTTTCCCCATAATTAATAACCTAATGTCGTGTTTAGTCTAAATACACTATAAATAAACAACATGTGCAATGTGTATTTTCAATAAAATGGATTTCACTGTTACACAGTACTATATGACGTGACAACTCTACAACTTTAACATTTCATCTTCTACAAAAACCTGCGATAAGGATAACCAAAACGATATACACAACGCCTTTAGTTATCGCAACACAGTAGGAAAAAGTGAATGGTATACTACTGTTATACATACCAGCAACCTTCTGTCACTTAGAATAAGGATATAATAGCTCGATAATAAAACTCGAGCCAAAACAGTAGGTCATAAAGGGAAAGAAATTAAACAGTCAACGCAATAAAAGTTTTAAAATCTGTGATAAGACAGGGTACAGATGCATTTGAACTAGATTAATATGATCTAAAACATACAACCAATAAACTGAAATACATTGACTTAGCTTGACTAATTTCACCAATAAATTTTAACTGTTGTGCAAGTAGTGTAGCAGACAGATAAAATCAACGCAGAACTTCACACAGGAGTGCATCGGTTCAAAATTCCATACTTCACAGTAGAATGATTAGAAGTAAGAGAAGAGTAGAAGGAGAAAGAAACTGAAAAAAGGCTGGTGGTAGGTGAAATGTCCCAACTTTCATAGACGTCAAAGAGTGGATACATTTGAACCGTTGTGATCAGTCACCATAAATATAGTTGAAGCTCTTCAACTATTGATTCCTGCTAACTTGAGGACCTCAACCAGACAGTCTACGCTTCCCTACACGGTCATTATCAGCAGTTAAAGACTTCGTCAACTAATACCAAGTCTTAATCTGACCACCCTGAGCCTCAATCCAACCCAATCTTGCTTAAGTTAACATTGTATATTATGGTCGGCGGTGGTGCACAACAGGTGTCCAACCCAATCAATTATCGAATTTTTCCGCAAACTCATCTACAGACTTGTCTTTTTCACTTAACCTCGACATTGCTCAAAATCCGGTTTCATCATATATGGGCGATGCTACAAAGAAACCGGTAGCTTCTTTATATCAGTTTTAAAGCTGAGTGACAAGACAGAAATTACTGTGCACCACGTGCACCTTTTAATGGGTAGTCAGACATTTCGCCGGCGCAAGAAATGCAGTAAGTTAGTAAACGTCAGACAGGTCTTCTATATTCGGGGTGAGATTTCTTCAGTGACTAGGTCATTCAGGCTAATACAACTCTACAAGTAAGTGAAGTGGTCAATACATCCTACAACTTTGCTCCCTATCTTTTAACTAAGAGTAGCTGCAGACCAATGCTAAAGCATCATCTTACATTCGACAGGTGCGAAACGCATGTCAAACATACACATACTTGCCAAAGGCGTTCAGAATACCCGCATTTTGTCAACATATTCACCCGGTAGGACAATTTGGTTTGCTTACTCTGAATGAACCAAGTACCCTTCTGGAAGTAAGTCAATTCCTGAGGAGTCAGAGATCCCCGGGGTTATGTTCATTAGCACGTCTACAACGAGGTTACACAGGAACGGTGAAAGTAGCATAACAACTTGAAGTGACAGATTTTTATACAACATAGTATGCTAATTTATTTTTCTGAGTACCGAACTTCAAAAAATGGTAGATAAGGCGGGAAACTAGCAAAATCAGAGAGAAACAACTTTGAAGGAAGAATGACAAATACGACTGAGGATATACTGAACTGACACGCTGTATTCAATGGACCATTTTGAAGTGTTCAAGGAATTAATCAAACAACGTTGACTCGTTCAACGAGGAAGTCAAAACACTGTGAGAATATTCTAGGAGCAATTCACATGAACACCAAATTGATAATTGAACTACAGCTTACACAAGGCGAATATAATGTTGACAGAATAAGACAATAAAGATTTTCCTCTGTAAATAATCTCAGTAGAAAAATATGGAGCACATCTTCACACAGAAAGATAACACACAATTCATCCGTTTTTAACAAATGATACAACTACTTCTGTCGAATCCTATACAAAGTTACGAACCACAAATCTATGGAGTGAAGCAAGATAACAGGACATAATCCACTAGTCTGGATAAAAAAGATTCAGAAATACAAGGAAAACAAAATTAAACCTATGAAACTAAGGAAACCCCCGGTAGAAAAACAATCAGTCCAAATGATTTAATAGACACCGCAATTTTATACACCGAGTGGAAGGAAAAAAGTTTCGGAAAGGATCACATTCGGATGCAAATTACTGTGGAACGCTGAAATTCGTCAACAACCAGGAGTTTTAATAAAGTATTAGAGAAAATAGGGCAGATGAACATTTGTAATTTGTAGAAAGAAAGCAACACGATTCAAAAACAATTACAATTATCTCTTAATAAGAAATTGTCTAAATTGAAAAAAACCTAATACGTGCGTGATACATTTTAGTTGGGGATAAATACCAGTAGAGACAGACAAAAAAACAACAACATGCAACAGAGCACATCACCGAATCAATTAAAGATGCCACAATACAGTGAAAAATTTAAAGCCACTTGAAAATAGTAAAAGATAAACAAAATTAGTGGTACTAACAATGAAGAAAAGAAAACAAGTAGGAATTGAAGGGGGGGAAGTACATATGAAAAGTCAACTGCATACAATATTACAACCTGAGACGGTTGAATTATAGACTATTTCACTACTAGCCACTATAAATCATTATTATAGTTAAAAACAGGCAATATTAAGGCATCCCCACAGGAATCCATATACCAATAGAGACCGATCAATTCGGTCCAGTCAACGACGGGATAATACAAGCAATACAGGAGAACTATACTCGTCGCACAAGAAGTGGCTACCGTGGCTCGGTGGTCCAGTGGATAACGCTTTCGGGGTTGGAAGCGATCGGTCCACAGTTCGAGTCCCGATGGGAACATCACTCACTGGGAGGCAGGTACACCCAGCTGACGAGTCCCAAGTGAGACAAAACGCGCGTTCTGTACTCCACTGTTAGCCATTATTCATCATTAATATTTCGAGTTGAATTATTTAACCTTTGAATTCCATTATCTGAAGAGCTTTGCCTAGCAATTCTATGCTTACAACAGTCAGATAAGACGATAATTCAACTTATGTGCAATATATGAGTAGTCAGATGCCCTATAGTTTCATAGGCAGAGCGGTCAGACAAGAACACTTGTATTTTGTTTACTTATAAAAACCAACAGTTAAATAACAGCGATTTCATGTCTATAAACGTTAGGACAAAAAAAGCATGTAAGTAATCTGACGTGTTAGTCGAGGGTAGCATTTGTCAGACATCGAGGACGAAATAAAACCCGACCAATAGCTTCTACCCTGACGTGAGGGTTAGGTTTGCATATCTCCATGACGCCACAAGCTTTATTAGTTGGAAAGATTGTTATCTGAAGCCCCACCATGCCAGAAAATTCGTTAGCATAGTGATGAGACGAAAAGCAGCTGTCGTCAAACTGTAGACAGGGTGAACTGTCATGGATCCCGAAGATAAAGTCAGACTGCTGGCTGGGAGAAGCATGGTTGCAGTAAGGTGTTCCCAATTAGACGGCAGTTAAAAAAAAAAAACAGCATACTCCTCCATGCTTAAGTCTCAGACTTTCAAAGAGGTCCTGTGTGATCGACCTCAAACATACGTTTTTGAGCTTTATAGTCATGTACTCATATGACTAGCCTGATTTGTGTTTCAATTACATCAAAAAGTAGCCTTTCACAGAGTAGGAAGTCAGAAATTTTTATTCATCTTCAAATCTCTATCAGTCCTCTCCAGTAGTTTGCAGCTTGGACCGTTACACAGTAATATTAGATCCAGCGTTGTAATTGGCTAAC